TGATTTCTTTTTAATGCTTTACCCCATACTAGATCTACACACTGGCAACCTTGGCTCTGATACCATTGTTAGACACAACAGTGCCTCTAAACCATAGATCGGGGTAAGCATCTTACTTAGGGTTCCTCCAGTTCGCCCTGGCGTAGTTGCGCCGCAGCCTCGTGGACGCCGGTGTTGAGGGAGCTCGGCACGGTGGAGTCCAGCGTGGTGGAGACGATGCAGAGGCGACGGCGGAGTCGGTGGGGCTTCCCGTCGCTGACAGCACTCCTTTTGATCGGATTAGTGTTTCTCTGTGTGGGTGGTTACAGCGGCTCCGGTCAACCTCGTAGTTAGAGCCGTGATCCCCACATATCTTTTATAGTGTTGTACGACAGGGGTCCACTAACCATATTAGGGTTGGACGTCCCCGATCTGGGCATAAATCCAAGGGCCCAGGTGGAGATCAACTAACAATATGATGCTAATTATAGGCTACAGCTGCACCTACACAGCCAAGCCAGCAACGACACGTCACACAAGCTAAGGGAGGGAAGCTTGTGGAGAGCGCGGGCGTGGTGTCGTGGTGATGGCGATTGACGAGTGATGACTAGCGACTAGCTGGGGAGTGGCGAGCCGTGCTTCCTTTCTAGTGTAGCTCATGAGCTAAACACGCTCGTGTATGTTTTCTTCTTTCTCGAGCACGACACATATATGTAACACGTGTTTAAAGGCCTGTTTGGTTCCTTAGACCGGATTTTAGTCTCTGTCCCATCGAATATTTGGACACATGCATGGAGTATTAAATATAGATTAAAAAATAACTAATTACACAGATTGCGACTAATTTGCGAGACGAATTTTTTAAGCCTAATTAGTCCATGATTTGACAATGTGGTCCTACAGTAAATATGTGCTAATGACGGGTTAATTAGGCTTAATAAATTCGTCTAGTAAATTAGTCTCCATCTGTGTAATTAGTTTTATAATTAACTCGTGTTTAGTCCTCCTAATTAGCATACGAACATCTGATGTGACACGGACTAAACTTTAGTTCTGGATTCAAACACCCCTAAGGATGAGAAGGTAAGGCCACGTAGGTCGATCGGGCAGCTGCTTAATTCTTTTTCTTTTCAACGCATGTCAAGGAAGGTAATTGACCACAAACTCATCTAGACCTCTTCTTTTGCATTGGCTGCAGTTTGCGAGGAAAATAACAAAACGGAACTGGCAAGATTATTATTTTTTATCTACGTACGAACTGTGACGTGAGCATGGTTATATGTTTGAAAAGTCAGGTGTGTGCAGGTGCATCTACGCGCTGGTCACGGTCGACTCAGACCGCATCAAAAACGAGTTAGAAATGTTTGCATGCCCAATTTGCATCGATCAGCGTAAAGAACGAAGTACTCTACGGCAGATGGCAGGTCAGTCAAAAGCGAATTAGGTGGGACAGTAAGGGCCTGTTTAGATTTAGGCCCCGTTTAGTTTGAACCCAAAAACCAAAAATTTTCAAGATTCCCCGTCACATCAAATCTTGCGGCATATGCATGGAGTACTAAATATAGACGAAAAAAAAACTAATTACACAGTTAGCCGAGAAATCGTGAGACGAATCTTTTAAGCCTAAATAGTCCATAATTGGACAATTTTTACAAAATAAAAACGAAAATACTACAGTAGCCAAAAGCCAAAAATTTTCGGAACTAAACACGCCCTTAAAAAAATTTGCGCGGTACCCGTCACATCGAATCTTGCAGCACATGCATGGAGTGCTAAATGTAGACGAAAAAAAACTAATTGCACAGTTAGGTGAGAAATCGCGAGACGAAACTTTTAAACCTAATTAGTCCATAATTAGACACTAATTACCAAATATAAACGAAATGCTACAGTGAACCAAAATCCAAAAATTTTTGGATCTAAACGAGGCCTAATTTGCTGAAAACATATTCCAACTTGCATTTGAACTAACTAATTTATTATTACGGTCACGAGTAGCACTATACATAGTAATTAAGGGCATGTTTGTTTTAACTTATCAGTCGACTTATCAATTAGTGTACAGTATTTTTCTCTTAAACAAAATAGCTTAAGTCGACTTTAATATCAGTCAAACAGACCATAAGTCAAACAGACCATAAGCAGATTACTGCCGCTTACTTTTAGCCTCCATCATCTCTCAGAAAAAGTTGATCGATCACCGCGACGACTGTATGTAGTACTAGTAAAAAAAAACGGCAAGCGCTCGTGCCGCGAAAACGACGCCAGCAGCGCCAGACGGCCGGCACAGTGGCAGAACGTGGCTCGTGCACGCGCCTTTCCTTGGCCACGTTGAGTTCGGCCGAATCTAATGTAGCTACAGTGACGCTTTGTTTTTATTCGATGATAATTGTTTAATTGTTGATTAATTAGGCTCAAAACGTTTGTCTCGCAAAGTACAGCCAAACTGTGTAATTAGTTTTTGATTTCGTTAATATTTAGTATTTCATACACATACCGTAAATTTGATGTGACGGATAATCTTCTTTTTTCACTGTGTTAAAGTTTAGAATTAGGGTGAACTAAACACCCCTTGTCGTACGTTCTCTTCCCTCGTCGCGTGTGCTAGTACAAGTACGACACAACACGATTGCCCGCGAGAAAGAGAGAGGGAGCGGCAGAGTGGGTGACGTGACACGGAACGCACCCGATGCAATGCCGTCACCTTTTGGACCTTTGGGGACTCGGGGTCACACGGGTCGCTTTCGCCAGCCGACTGGGGAGGGACGCCACGCGCGCGACGGCGCGAGACGGGTCGGGTGGGTCTAGCGGGAGACTCCGCTTGGACGGACGGACGGCCGAAAACGTGCGGGAAATCGGCAGGAAGATGGCGAAACGACCACGGTGCCTGCGGGCCGCGGCTCCTTTTTCTTTCCGCTGTGGCCCGGCTCGGCTGGCCGCCTGCTGGCTTGTGGGATCCATTTTGGTCGCTAGAGATATTTTGGTCGCGGTCGCATTTTCTCTCTCTATACTCGACTCTATCTATTCTCTCCATCCACAGCCTCCTTCAGTCCATGAAAGAATAGAACTATAAGACTCGTGCTGGTAAAATTAGTTCAAATTTAATCAAACTTATAATAAATATTATTAATATTTATATTTTTAAATAAATTTATTATAAAAATATATTCTATAACGAATTCAACAATACTTATTTTGTATCATGAATGTTAGTACTTTTTTATATAAATTTAGTCAAAAGTTTAAATTAATTGACTTTTCAAAAAAATAAGATTTTTTTTTAGTGAGGGAGTATCTATCTCTCTCTTTCGTCGGGGTGTTTCGTCAGGGAAGGATGGACGACGGAGACGCGGGCGTTGAGTTGACCGAGCGTGCTGTACGGTACGGCTGCATGCATCTGACCGATCCCTCTCGTGCCACCGTGACGGTGGTGGCTCCTGGTACGAACAGGAGATATTAGAGCTGTGGAACGGGACGACGACGAAAATTCGAAATGATCCCTGGTGCCGGATTACTAATATTTTAGGGGGGGCGCATAGGAAATTCAGTACAGAGGATACTCGAAAATCAATCAATTCCAAGCACCACTGAGTATTATTATGCTGAGCTCAGGGGAGTGCTCATGATTATGCTATTACTATACGTAGTATAGCAAATGTCATAGTCCCCGATGTCTTCTGGCTACTACACCATTATTACTATAGCTCTTCCTCTTCTAACCATGTGACTTTGATGTGGGGACCCACCACGTGTTCCGGCAGCTATGTGCCTACACATTGCGCCAAGGCTACCGTATGCTTCGTGACCATACCTTTGGCGCGCTAAACTCGTATAGTTTTGTCCATAAAGCCCGACGTCCGTTACTCCGTTTCCTTGATTAAATGTCCGCTGTTGGTTTTGTTCGCCAAACCTACGGCGCAATCATAATTACGTTTACTAGAGTAAAGTGACCGAAGATCGATCTGAAGGGGTTGGGTATTTTTCTTATATGCCAAACAATTAATTAGAGAGAATGGAGATGTACCTTCCGCGTGAAAACACATTTTGGCATAAAATTTAACCATTTAAATCTATTTGCAAAGGCGCAATATATGAAACGCCTATTTTTTTTCATAGTTTGGGTTACAATTATACTATACTATGTATTAATAATTTTTGCGGAGGTTGTTTTTCCTAACATTTCAATACTCCAAATGTGCCATTGGAGCCTTGGATACCAAAGTATTGATGTCTAATGACCTAGATTGAGAGTAGATTTAAGGCGTACCTATGTAAAACTCTACACACACGGAGGGACAATATGCAGATGTCCTAGTCCTCACCGTCTTCTAACCATGTGACTTCCACTCGACGCTACCGACTGATGTGGGGGACCCACCACATGTTCCGGCAGCTAGGTGCCTACACATTGCACGAAGGGTACCGTATGCTTCGTGACTGTACCTTTGGCGCGCTAAACTCGTGTACTTTTGTCCGTAAAGCCTGGCGCCGGTTTTCTTAATTAAATGTCCGCTGTTGGTTTTGTTCGCCAAACATGCGGCGTCGTCATAGTTATACTATACCTATACTATATATTAATAAATATTGTGGAGGTTGTTTTTCCTAAAATTCCAATACTCCAAATGTGACATTGGAGCCTTGGATATCAAAGTATTAATGTCTATAATAACCTAGATTGAGTGTAGATTTAAGGTGTACCTATGTAAAACTCTACATCTACGTAGGGGCAATATGCAAATGTCCTAGTCCTCGCCGTCTTCTGTCTACTCTGTACCATTATTACTGTAGCTTTTCCGTTTCTAACCCCGCATCTTCAGCTTGACGCCTCCCTAGACTGACGTGTGGACCCCATCGGTCCTCCCGGCACCTACGCGTCTGCGGACTGTGGCAGTGGCGGCCAGCCAATATATAGGGCCCACACCCCGTCCGCGCTCTCCAAAGTTTCGTCCACCATTTCGCTCTCGCAAGCCACCGATTTGTTTACTGCTCGCTCCGGCGGAGCTACCGACGACGACTGAGCCATGTGCGGCGGCGCGATCCTCGACGACCTCCGTGAGCCGGAGCTGCGCCGGTTCACGGACCGGGACATCTGGCAGAAGAAGAAGCCCAAGAGGGGCGGCGGCGGCGGGAGGCGCTCGTTCGCGGCGGAGGACCATGAGGACTTCGAGGCCGACTTCGCGGATTTCGAGGCTGACTCCGGCGATTCTGATTTGGAGCTCGGGAAAGGGGCTGACGACGACGTCGTCGAGATCAAGCCCTTCGCCGCCAAGGGGACTTTCTCCAGAGGTACTAGCTCAAGCTCAAGGCGTCTTAATTTCTATGTTTGTAGCCTTGTATATGTATTTTTGCGTTTGATTGGTGTAGACGATTAGAATCTAAAGGTTGGTTGAGGAATTTTGTGGGGTTAGGGAGTAGGTGGGTGTTTGAGGTGCGGCTGGGTGGTTGGATTGGGGAGGAAGAAAGAAAAAGTAGGGGATTGGTGTTTACTGTTTAGATATTAGATTTTGGCTTGTTAGGGGATTCTGCAACTTATTGGATGATTTTATGGTGTCCGATTGGGGATGAAGTCTGTGGCTTACGTTTTCATTCGTGTTACAATTCTGAAATGCTGGGCAACATAGTCTGTTATTCTGTTTTGGTTCCTCAACCTGGGAGTCAGAGGGAAGATAACTCGGTTCTTCGAGTGTTGGATCTGGGAGTTCCATCGTTTGTGCACTCGGATGGGGTCGTATATGATTCGTTACATTAGAGGCATATTATGCCATAGCGCTCTCTCTCTCTCTCTCTCTCTTTTTTTGGGGGTGTTGTTCTAGACTCTTTTCAAACTACTCTACGTGATTTATGGTGTTGAGCTTGGGCATATAATTATATATTCACATGCATATGCTGTTTCATATGGTTCCTTGTATGATTGTATTTCGTTGTGAGTATTTGAGCAGTGAAGAGTCACTAGGCCTGATTAGTTGTCCAAATGGTTGCTGTTGGGCATTCCAGAGTCACTGTAGGTCCTGGATGCAAAGTTTAGGAAGGTCAGATTTCTCATGTGCAGTATCGTATATAGTAGAAGTTTCAGATATGATTGCATAATGATGATTTATTTGATGGCACGAGGGTTGTAAAGAATCTCGGTCTTCCATATTTATTGTGTTTTGAACTGTGCTTTCTTCAAATATGAAGGAGATGCACATGGAGAATGCTAATTTTGGTTGTGATGTTGTTTCATAACTCAATATGCATATATATGATTGACAGAGGCAATGTTACTAAGGTTTGCTGCTTTCCTGTTTGCAGATGGCTTAAGCACCATGACTACTGCTGATTATGATGCCCCTGTAGCAAGGTCAGCGAAAAGGAAGAGAAAGAATCAATACAGGGGTATCCGCCAGCGCACTTGGGGCAAGTGGGCTGCTGAGATCAGAGATCCTCAGAAGGGTGTTCGTGTTTGGCTTGGTACTTTCAATAGTCCTGAGGAAGCTGCAAGAGCTTATGATGCTGAAGCACGCAGGATTCGTGGCAAGAAGGCCAAGGTTAACTTTCCTGATGCACCAGCAGTTGGTCAGAAGCGCCGTTCTGGCTCAGCTTCTGCTAAAGCACCCAAGTCAAGTGTTGAACAGAAGCCTGTCGTCAAAGCAGCTATGACCAACCTTGCCAACACAAATGCATCCTTCTACCAATCTGTTAACTACCCCTCCAACAATCCATTTGTTCAGCATGCCAATATGCCATTCGTTCCAGCAATGAACTTTACTGCTTCTGTTGAGGATCCCATCATGAATCTGCACTCTGACCAGGGAAGCAACTCCTTTGGCTGCTCAGACTTGGCCTGGGAGAATGATACCAAGACACCAGACATCACATCCATTGCTCCCATTTCCACTATTGCTGAAGGTGATGAGTCTGCATTTGTCAACAGCAATTCAAACAGCTCAATGTTGCCTCCTGTCCTGGAGAACAATGCTGTTGATTTCACTGATGGGCTGACAGATTTAGAATCCTATATGAGGTTTCTTCTGGATGGTGGTGCAAGTGATTCAATTGATAGCCTTCTGAACCTTGATGGATCACAGGATGTTGGTAGCAACATGGACCTCTGGAGCTTCGATGACATGCCCATTGCCGGCGATTTCTTCTGAGGAATTTGAAGCTTGGCCATAGGAGTATGTACATGGGGACTAGGGGTAAGCATTGCGTTTGCAAATTTCTCTGAAGTTACATGCTATTTTCACTGGACTAATTTTTGTTCCATGTTTCAGGAATAAAGACTATGGGAGATTGGGAAGCACCTGCTTGGCACCTTGGGGTAGCATATGCTCGTGTCTAGCTCAGATGCAAAAGTTGCATTATGAAACTCTTTGGTTATCGACCTGTTCCCTATTTTAACTATCTCTGTATGAGAGCCATTTATGAGACTGAACCATTTTCCTTTCCTTTCGTTGTTACAATATATGGTTTAACATTATGATTTATGAATATGTGGCGAAACATGCCTTTATATTCTCTTGTTTGTGTGTACCTCCTGCGATTCCAGGAGTCGTATTAATGTGTGTTGATCGATCTACCTTATGATATTTCATTTGTTGAAATTGAGTTAACTAGTTATCTGCTGAAACTTTTGTTGTACAAGCGAAAGTATTCAAGATTTCATCTTGGCATTTGGCAAGATACCAGATTTTTGGTGCCTGCTTACTTGTGCATGCTGATTTAAGATAAGGCTGTGTGAACAAGCATGAGGCAGGATCTCTGTCGTAGTCCTTTCCTGTTGTGTTTCTCATGACGTGAAAAGAGGATGGTGAATCGATTCGTTGTGTATTTCCTACCGTTTTCAACAATCGCAGGTTTCTTTGGTTCTTTAGATATTTTGGAAGAAAAAACAGGCGGGGTGCGATAATAGCTCCGATTCTGTTGAGTTTTGACCCGGACGAATGTTAGACCCACGCAATCTTCTGAAATTTCAGCTGTTGTTTTTCACTAGTCACTCCATTCTAAATGGTCTCGAGAGAGTCAAATTTGCCTGCTTCTCATTTGATTTGGTCACTGTGATGCGATTACACTTTACCAACAACAGTTGTTTGATTGGTTCTTGATTACCAACTCCAGTTGCTTCATTGGTTTGATTTGACGTTCATATACTGCATCAGCCTGTTCGTTTGTTCGTAAACGATCGTAAATTTTCAGTCGGGAACAGTGTTTTTCTCTCACACCAAACCAGCCAGCAGTAAATAATCCACGATACGATACGGCCTCCCGAACAGGCTGCATATCACCACCTTGATCCTCCACCTTCATTGGTTTGATTTCTCTGTTTTTTTTTATATCGCTGTCTCGCTTTCCTGAGTGCTCATGATAATCACTCGTCTTATGTCTGCCGCTTGAAGACCAGAGGAACCTGAATGTAGACGCGACTGACATATCTTTGGGAGTTCAGGTGCACGCATCATGATGCGGAGTGAAACATGTCCTGCGACAGATCTTTGTGGTGGTTTCGGACCCATGTTTTGCTCCTCGTCAACATGCTTGAGGTGGGCTTGCGAGCCTCACAAGGACACATCGACTGATCGACCGACACATGCCTGCGGTGGAGGGACCGGTTTATATCGTTGTTGGTTGGTTTATGTGAGAGAGAAGTACCGCTGGCTAGTTCATGTGAACAGTGTCCATGTGAGAGGGCTGGCCAGCGCAGCCAGCCAACCCCAGCCGACCACGGATATCTTCTCTATATAGGATAAAAGCGGGCAAACCGTCGTGCCACGTCGCCCGCTAAGCCGAGAGCCGTTTGATCGGGCGAGAAAGCGATCTGGTCCGTCCAGATTGCGGAGACCCGCTTTATCGTCAACCCGAGCCAACGCGAACCTTCGGGGGCCGATACTTTGCCCGCTCCCACACCTCCCTCCTCCCAGCGCGGGCGGGGTGCGGGCGTGGCGTTCCCGGCGAGGGTGGCGGCCCAAACGGCCCCGGCGACCCTAGCTCCGGCAGGGGTGCGGGCGCGGCGGCCCCGGCGCGAGCGGGGGGTGCGGGCGTGGCGGCTCCGGCCACCTCAACGGGGGGGGGGCACGGCAGCTGCGGTCACCCCGGCGCGGACGTGCGGCTCGGGCCCCCTCCCACGGCGACCCCGGCGCGGCGTCCCCAGGCGGCGCTACAGGCAGCAAAAGGCGCGAGCGGCGGGTCGGGCGGACGCCGGAGGCAGGCTAGCAGCGCGACGCTGCGAGCCGGACGCACCACTTTGAATGCTCGTTGATGTGGATCTACGGCAGGTTTGCTCCTTCGTCCTCCCCAGAAGATGAACAGTACAAGCTAATGAGAACTTGCACATTTGTACAAATCGATGCAGAAACTTGTGAAAATCCTAGGAAAATAATTGTAGATCCAAATAATGTGAAATTAATTTTGTTAGATTCATAACTTTATCCTCTACCGGTGGAAAATATGTTTGCATATGTTACTCTAGCAAAAAAATTCTTTATTTATTATAATGTGTAGAATTTGATAAATGCAAAAAAAAAATTCCCTAGGGCTCTACAAATTGCAACACCAATTTTATTGGATCTGTTGTGATGTCGCCTTACCTAGACAAATGCATATGCACAACCATCTTTGCATTATAATGATTTATATGCTTTAGTTGCCTTATGTTGCGAAAAATATTAAATTTTTGTAGACATTAAATAGTATATTTGCATTATGTCCTGTTGAATAGTTTGACAAAGGACCACCTGTCCTGTACCTATGACTATCATGGTTCCTCACAATTTTTGATAGACTCATACTTTATCAGAGTGGTTTGGTTTAGCAAGTGTAGAACCTAGGTAACAGGATTAACTTCTAGCTTAGGTCCTGGAAGCTTGCTTTTCCTGTCAGCTGACACTAGCTTGTATTTTATTGAACTATAGACTGCATCTAAAAATTGATTGCTTCTTGGTGTGATCATACGTGAATGATTATTTTTGCCTATGCGATCTTGGGCTTAAGGCATAATAAATCAGAACAAAGAACTTGTATTATGTGTCCTTTGTCAGTTCTATTCTATATGCGGTGAGTGGCTCGGGGCACGGGAGTACGAGGACCTGGGGTTCACCGGCCTCGGCCTCTGCTTCGACTACAACGCGAAGAAGCTATGAAATGGATTTCTAGGATTAGTGGAGGCTTTGTGGTGAACTTATGCTGGTTGGACTATAAAATTTGAGGCTTGCCCTTATCTCACAAGTTATATCCAGATCATGCTTAGGGTGTCTTCCTCCACGGAACAACGCCACCTCAGATTGTGTGCGATCCTCAAGAGTGGGGAAAGAAATCATTTCCATTTTTCTCTGAATTCCACTAGGGGGTCACAAACCTCCTATAAAAAAAACTCTGAATCTTCCTTGCTTCGATCTTTCTTGCGTGCGTGTGTGAGAGGTTCTTTCTTTCTTTTGTGCCATGGTCGTTGGCTAATTGATTTCCATTCTACGCGGGTTAGCTGGAACAGGGCATGAGCAAAATGTGTTGATTAATTGATGTTTCGTGGATTTCAGTTCTGATTATATTTTAGTTTTTTTGCACGTGAATTTCATCCTCATATCCTAATTTAGGCATTTGATATTTCTTCTGTTTGATGAATTTTCCATGCCCTACTTGCTTGTAGCAGGCAACTGATGATGATTGGTTTGATTATGATAATCAGTTTTGTGCTCCATGCCATGACTCCATCCAGGGGCAGCGGTGGAGTCAGCAAAGGGGGCGGCTAATGATGCAGAGCATAGGCAAGCAACTCACCTTCAGCTCACTACCTATGCCAAAGAGATTGTAACAAGTGTTAAGTGGTGACCATGATTTCTAAAGGTTGACATCTGATCTCTTTACTAAAATTGAATTTTTGTCCAATCCGTACCAGCATCTCTAGAGGAGTACAGTCAAGTGTCCACAGCATAGGTTGCAAAGTCTCTCTGCCACCTTTCCTGCTTTTTATATTTCTCAAAGACCATAAACTCACTTTGGAGTTCAGAAAAGATACAATATATTTAAGTACAACCATATTTTATACGTCAATCCTACTTATTTTTCTTCATGTAGTAATTTTTAAGGATTCATCCTACCATGATTTAATGCGATTCTAATTATTTGCAGGAATGTCCATCTCTTTACCTCCTTTGAAATGCCTCCATTTCTGGAATATCATTATGATTGGAATATCCTACATTAATGCATATGCAGTCCTTTCTACTCCACGTTGACATTGCGAGGTAGCCTAATACTGGCAGCTGCGCGGCAACGCCGTGCTTAGTTTCTAGTATTACAGGTTTCTAGTTTCCATCAAACGCTATCCTATGTAGAGTATAGAGGATGAAAACTAAAATCTCACAAATTCATTGTTTCTTCCATTTGGAGGTTATGTTGTAAGGGTTGGTTCAATATATAACCACCTACATGGTATGAAACATGTCCCGTTTAGTCAGATCAACAACCACCCCAAGTAAATTTCCAGAAATTGAATCTTGTGTAACTAATTTCTGTGGCTACTACATTGCATAGTTATTGCTATGTACCATTTAGTCTGATCAACAACCACCCCAACCCCAAGTAAATTACCAGAAGATACACTGAATCTTGTGTAACTAATTTCTATGGCTACAACATACATTGCATAGTTATTGCGATGTATTACAGACTTACAGTTCCTTAAAACCAGCCAAACAACCTCTAGAAGTTCAGAAAATATGCTTCGTGCCTCAGAATTTTGTGTTTTCTCTTTCTTTTGATAACATCATACTTACATGGTAGGAGTCGGCATACAGAGGTGACCGCCATTCGGTTTGGTGCCTAGGACCTTGTCGTGTTGAATTGGGTGTCAAATGAGATGGATAACTCTGTTCTTCACACTTCACTTATACCCCTTGTTCCTTGAAGTTTTGGGAGATTGGGACAGCTTCCAAATTCTAGATGGTCTAGAGAATAGTCAGATATCTGTGTATCCCACTTGATCTCGACAATGTAATTACAATTCGGAATAACAGTCAGATATCTTTGTCGCTCTTTCTAAGCACTAATAATAATCACATGGTTTTCACTTCAATAACCAATCGTGAAGTATTAGTAAAATGCAATGCACTTCCATTCAAACATGGCACATCACATCAGAGCGACCTTATGCAGCTGCCGT